GAGGGCGACTGTCTCGGACTGCTGCTGCCGCGGCTGCTGCTGCTGTTGCTGCTGGCGGTGGCGGCCGCGCTGGAGGCCGTGGTGGTGATCATGGAGGCGAGGGACGCGGCCTGCACGGGGTCCGCGCTGCTGAAGGCGCCGCTGGAGGCCACGGACGCGGCGGCGGCAGCCTGTGCCGCCTGCGCAGCGTGGAAGCGCGCGTGCACGCTCACCTCCATGTCGGTGACGAGTGTCTGGCGGCACACGACGCAGGGCTGCGGCAGCGGCGCCGGGTGGTGCTCGCTCTGGTGGCTGCTGAACTGCTGCTCGGACGTCAGGGGCTCGCGGCACACGGCGCAGGCGCTGCCGCTCACCACCTTCACGTGCGTGAGCTTGTGCTGGGCGAGGAGCGCGGCCGAAGGGCACAGCTCGTCGCAGATGTTGCACTTGTGGCGCCCCCCTGAGCCCTGGTGCGACTTCATGTGCGCCTCGAGGTCGCTGCGCGACTTGCACGCCTCGCTGCAGTAGGCGCAGAAGAGGCTGAGCGACGCCGCCGCCACCTTGGCGCCCGCGCCGCCGGCCCCGCTCTTGATGTTGTGCGCCTGCTTGCGGTGCGCCAGGAGCCCCGAGTCGCTGGAGAACTCGGCGTCGCAGATGTCGCACTTGAGCTCCTTCTTGTGCGGGCTGCGGCGGGGCTTGACCAGGTTCTCGGGCTGCGGCACGTTGCCGTTCAGCTCGGAGTTGTGCTGTGTCTGCATGTGCTTGTCCAGCAGGAACTCCACGTGGAAGGCGTCGTCGCACAGCGTGCACTGGAACTGGCGCTGGTGCGTGGCCACGTGCGCCGCCAGCTCGGCCTCCGAGCTCAGGCTCAGCGTGCACAGCAGGCAGCGGTACGACCCCCCCGCTCCCCCCAGGCTGCCCCCGCCGGGCACCGCCTCGCCCACGCCCAGGCCGCGCCGCATGTGGCTCGCCCGGATGTGCACCTCGAACTCCGACTGCGACCGGAAGATGAGCGAGCAGCGCGTGCACTTGTGCACCTTGCACTCGTTGCTGTGCTTGACGGCGAAGTGCACCTGGATGGACACCTTGGAGTCGAACATCTCCTTGCAGAGGGCGCAGCGGTACAGGTGGTGCGCGTGGATGTCCATCAGGTGCTTCTGCAGCTCGTCCGGCTTGGAGAAGAGCTTGAGGCAGGCCTGGCAGCCGTACTCGGTGGCCGTGGCGCCCAGGTGAGTGGCCAGGTGCGCCTCCAGGGCCGCCTCCGAGCTCAGCGGCAGGCGGCACTCGGGGCACGCCATCTGCGCCGCGCCGCCGCCCGCCGTCGCCGCCGCCTCCACCCCCTCCAGGTGGGTCTTGAGGTGCCTGCGGAAGGCCTCGAAGTTGGTGAAGGGCGCGTTGCACTGGCTGCACAGGAGCGTGGAGGCGGGCAGGTCCGACGGCAGCCCTTCGTGGCGGGACTTCTTGCTGAGGTCCGTGGGCGTGTCGGTGGGCGGCGAGGGCGGCCGCTTGTTGAGCACCGCCGACAGCACGGGCGCCGCGTGCACCAGCTTGATGTGCTCGGCCAGCGCGCCCGGGTTGCTGAACGGCAGTAGGCACTGCGCGCAGAACACGCCCTCGGCCGCCCGCGCCAGCAGGTCCGTGAAGGTGTGTGCCGTCACCACGTGCCGCTGCAGCGCCGTGACGCCGCCCACGCGGGCGCCGCACAGCTCACAGCTAACGCCCCTGGACGACCCAGGGCCTAGTGGCGAGGCCAGAGATGCTGCAAGGCCGCCCGCGCCCAGGGAGCTGCCCAGGGAGCCGCCCAGCGACGTCGGGAGGCCGAGCATGCTGGCCATGTCGCGCATCTCGCCGTTCAGCACCGAGCCTGCAAGGGAGGGAGTCAGTCCTGCAACACGTCATCGCGGCTGCCAAGCATGCAAACAGCCGATGCCATTCAAATATGTTCAAATATATTCAGAAAATGATCAGACAAGAGCGGAGAGTCGACCAACCGTGCGAGGAGTGCAGGTGCAGCTGCAGCGCCTCCAGCGACGGGAAGGCGTCGCGGGAGCAGTAGAGGCAGGCCAGCTTGCCGCCCACGAGCGACAGCAGCGGGTTGGCCAGCGGCCGCGGCGACGGCAGCGACGACGGCGGCCGCGGAGAGGGCGTGGAGGCGGCTGACGACGCCCCGCCTACCGACGAGGCCCCGGAACCGCCCCCTCGGGAGGCGGGGCGATCCGAGGACGCCATCGGCACGTCGTCGCCATGGTAACGCGTTAGATGCCGCTGTGGGGGAGAAATCACGTTAGGAGGAGCACGGGGGAACTGAGGGGGGGGGGGGGGGGCGAAGTGAGGGCGAGGAAGAGACGAGTCAATCGAGGCATTACACATACATACATGTTGATAAACATTCTATAACAATCCGTCTCAGCGCCACCCGAGAGGCCAGCGGACGTACCTGGAGGTGCGTGTGGTTCCGGCAGTGGGCGTGGCAGACCGGGCAGCGGGCGGCGGCGACGGGCGAGAGGGCGGGGGACGCCTCTCCGGCCCCTGGAGAGGCCCGCAGCGCCCCCGGGGACGATCCCGCGCCCAAGTCACCCTGCTGCGACTTCGGGCTCAGCAACTGCTCCTGCCGGAGGCCGGGCGGTTAGAGGGCGAACAGAGGGGGAGGAAGAGATGATGGTGATGGTGATGATGATGATGAAGAGGGGACGGCAAGGAGGATTAATGAAGAAAAGAGGAAAAGGGAAAGGGGGGAAAAACATAGGTAGAGATGGAAAAATGGGAAGAGAAATAATAAGGGAAAGAAAAGAACAAATAGAAGAGAAGGAAGAGGAAAAACAGGAGAGAGAGAGAGAGAGGAAGACGAAAAGACGAGAGAAATGTTTCTGATTCTGACGTTTCTAAATTTCTTAGACGAATTTGATCTGGAGTTTCCTTCAAAAGGCTACATCGACTTACTGTCGATTCCAAAGGCTTACTCACGGGGAGATCAGAATGAGAAATGAACTAAGTCCCTCCCTGTTAGAAACGGATCCTTCCAGATCACACCTTCAATTCATAAGAAAAAAGCGAATCGGAATAGAGCGCGCCGATGACCCACCTTCTGCGCATCCTTCAGGAAATGATTGAGCGCCTGCGCGTGCGTGTCGCCCACCGCGGTGTCCTTGAGCAGCTGCGTGAGCGTGTGGGCATCGGAGGGCGCCTGGGCATCCTTGAGCAGCTGGCTGAGGGCGTGGGCGGTGAGCTTGGCCTTGTGGTTCTGCATGTGCGCCGTGAGGGCGGCCGCCGTGTTGTAGCCGCGGTTGCACACCGAGCACTGGTACGGCTTCTGCGTGTCGTGCGTCTTCATGTGGATCTTCAGGTGGTCGCTGCGGGCGGAAGAGGGGGGGGTTAGGGAATGTTCTTTCTCTCTCTATCATTATTCCCTCTCTGAGCACACACACAACAACAAAAACCACATACAGTGTCATTCAATGCTCTCAGAGCGCCGCCGACAGTGCCACGGAGGAGTGCCAGCCAAAGGGTCAGACTCGGGCTCTTGCAAGTTCTCCTCGACTTGCAAAACGCCACAGGACCTCGTGGTACCTGGGGGGCCTTACCTCCTCCGTGCTCCCTAAGGGTTCGTCTAAATAATTCGTACTGGTTGAATTGCCACCAAAAGATCCCTTTTCGAGAACTGACCCAATCAGACCTATTGACTGCCCCTCTATGATCTCAAAAATAAGTAAAGAAATAAAATAAAATTAAGGAAATAAATGAAAATAGAACAAAAAAATAAAATAAAAATACAACAAAAAATAAAATAAAAATACAACAACAACAAAAAAATAAAAACACGAGAAAAAAATGAATTAAATAAACAAATGAAAAAATGCGAAAAAATTATATAATGACCCGAACCAAAAATAAACAAGTAATCCAATAACCCCGACGAGGAGGGGGGGGGGCACTCACCTCCTGGAGAAGGCCGCCTCGCAGTGGCAGCACTTGTACTTCTTGTCGCCCGTGTGCAGCTTGACATGGCGGTCTCGGGAGCGCTTGTGCTTGAACAGACGCCCGCAGAACTCGCAGCGAAACGGCAGCTGGTCCGCGTGGGTCTGGCGGGAGAGGGGGGCGTCAGTTTCTTCACGATGGGGAGGGATCTGGGGGGAGGGGGGAGGGGGGAGGGGGGAGGGAGGAAGAGAAAGAGAGGAAGAAGGGGGGGGGGGGCAGAAGAGGAAGGGGATGCCAAGGGGGGGGAAGAGGGAGAGAGAATGAAGAGGAGGAGGTAAAAGAAAATAAACAGGTCAAGTATAAACATAAAGGGAGAGAAAGTTGAGACAAAGAATACAAAAACGAGAAAAATAAAAAGATGAAGATCTAGCTATGATGAGAAGGAAAAAGTGGGAGAAGAGAAGGGCTGGAGGGCGAAAAGCGAAGGTATTGGATGAGAAGACAGGAGGAGAGAGGGGAGGAGGAGGGGGGGAGAAAGAACGGGGATGAACAAACACTGCGTGATAAACACAAACAAAAGCAAGAAAAGCGATGAACTTCTAATTTCTGAGCCCTATTAATAGAGGTGAGCTTAATTTGTGCAAGAGCGCGTGCAGGGAGCATGCAATACTAGAAATGAGAAGAGGAGGTTCAGTTAGCTAGCGAGCAGGAAGAGGGCGCCAAGAGAACATGCCGCGCACATGCACAGCCTTACCAGGACGTCGATGAAGTACGAGGAGTTCTTCCCCCTCCTCCTCTTCCGTCTTTCGCTGCCTTCCTTCACCTCCCCGCGGTCACCATCGGCCCCGCTGCCGCCCTCTCCGCTCACCTCGTCCTTCCTGGCCTCCAGCAGGACCTCAGCCTCCTCCTCGTACTCGCCCGCCACGCTGCTGCCACTTGAGCAAGAGGACGAGGACGAGAGGGCGTCCTGCTGCTTGAGGGCCCACGGGGACCCGCACGCCAGGAGGCACGGCTGGCTCTTCGCGCCTTCGTCGCCGCCGCCGACGTCCCAGCTGGCGGTCAAAGCGCCTCCTCCTGCCTGAGGGAGCTTTCCTTCGCTGCCGCACGCAGGAGCTGGGCTGCCCCCTTCCCTATGGCCGAGGGAGGGGGGGTTGTCGGGAAGGGTAGGGAAGGCGTCCCGCTCCGCGCGAAGGAAGGCCTCCCTGCCCGCCATGTCCGTCGTGGGCCAGGAGGAGGATGCCTCGCTGCTCTCGGCGGTCAGCAAGTCGAGGAGATCCAGGTCTCGCCCGTCTTTCTCCGCCTCGCAATCTCGTAGGACATCAATGAAGCCCTTCTCCCCTTCCATTTCCTTGCAAAGAGCAACTGATGCATTCAAAGATTTCCCAGCCACGTGTTGCTGCAGATTTGGCCGGTCAAGACGGTCAGAGGAGGCACCTGGATGCCGAGGGGATGGCGGGAGCGGTGTGTCCACATACAGTTGGCAAGACTCCAGTTGCTCCAAAGTAAGTACCGAGTTGCGAAGATCTGTTTGGTCCTGCACTTCCTTTTCTTGGCATGGTTCCCTTGGTGCAGATTCCTCTAACATAAGGCATGCTCTCACGTCTTTAGGAAAATGCAGTCCCTCAACAAGACTAGTCTCATGATCTTGCTCCTCACTGCCAGAACTACGCATAGATTTCTTCTGAGAAGTTACTGATGATTTATTTATAATTTGCCATTCATCTATACAATGTCCTTCTGTTATGCACATAATACTTTCTTCACCCCAATCTGTATTTTGAATTTTGACAGCAGAATCTGACTCCATGGTCGTACCAGGTGAGCTGTCCTTCTCCTCCATGATACATCTGTCTTCCGGCATACATAATTTGGTTTCCTGCTTTAGATCTGATTTGCTAGTTTCCCACTCTTGCTTTTAGATCTGATTTGCTAGTTTCCCACTCTTGCTTAGTTTTACTGCTAAGGGCTGGAAGGAATGTAGGGTTGGTGGGAATTATTGGTTGCATGGCATCTTCTGACAAACCTTCCAGGCAACAAGACGTAGTATTTGCACTGGTGGCCTTACCTAGCCCAGGCATATCACTTGAGGCTGATTTGTCTTCACTGAAACTGGAACTTTGTTCCTGAGAGTCATCGCCAAGGACAGGTCCAAATTTTGTTGTTTGTGTCATTTCGCACTCGTGGTCATCATCAGACTCAGGACAGTTGTCAGCTATATGTTGCATAAGGTCATTACACTCTGGTGATTGTTCAGGTGAGCTAATAACGGCCGAGAGGTCAACATCTACGTCCGCACTGCTAGCAGGAAAATTTTCCAGTGAAGATAAGGCAAAATTATCCAAATACTCTTCTTTGGGAATATTTGAGTCACATAAATTTTGTGCAAAATACTCACAGTCGATCAGGGCATTCTCAGCTCTTCCCGACGGGGAGTAGATAGTTACCCTCTCTTTCCCGTCCTGGGAAGGAGAGTCGGAAGACTGAGAATCTTTGGGCAGAGGAGTGATTCCTATCAAATCATCCTTGCCATTTAAACTATTAGTAACTGAGCTTCCAAAACCAAGCTTCATTTGCTTCATTTTTGTGGGTGAAACACGTCGATTCAGGAAACTCATCTGCCTCTTTCTGTTAGCTAAATACCTGTTCATGAGAGACCCTTTGCGAGACAGGGCTTTGCACGGCACAGGGCGGAGTAGGCAAGGGGCAATTTTACGAATGAGGCCAAAATGAGCTCCCTGGCGAACAATAGATGATGGGGAGACCACTGCGGATGGCAGCGGATGTGGCACTGTGCTTGCGTCACCCTCCTGCCTTGTAGAATCAAAACCCTGCAAATTACCATTAACTACTTGGTTGCTATATGTGTCTCCCATTGGTCCCGGCTGACGGCTCCCTGTGCTGAACGGCTCTGCGGAATGCGATGACTGGGAGGCAGTAGGAGTATCCAGCCTGCCAGATGACTGCCTTTCTTGAAGGACAAACCTCTGCACCTCAGCCTCAGCACAGGGACTAGGCTCCAGCAGCTCTCTGCAATCCGAGCTTGCCTCTGCTTTGGAGGGAGGAGTCGCCCTATTCATCAATTCACGCAGATTCTTTTCTCTCTTCGGGTGCGTTTCAATATTGTGTTCTATGACTGTAATGCTGTTATCTCTTCTACCCTTACCAGTCTGTGAACTCAAGGGAAGCACATCAGTCTTACTTGTTAAATGGGAGACATCCTCCTCCTTGTCACAGCTTTCAAAATCCTTCTTTGCTCGAGAGATGCCATCAATACATTTGTGCAAACTTTCCTCTACAGATACATCTGCATTGACACCGAATGCAACTGCCTCCTCACAACTGGAATATTTATCCCCATCGACTTTGTCTACAGAGTGAAACATATTCTTGTGTCTCTTCTTTGGCAGAATATATGGATGGCACTTTTGACGCTTCCAACCTGAAGTGCTTCCGACAGCTGGCACATTATCAGTCCCAATAGATGAGAATTTTCCCGCAGAGTCACTATGACGGGACAACAAGGAGATGTTGTTGTTAGGCAAATTGTCATTCCATTTGTATATTTCACTGTCTGTGGATCTAGTTATATTGGAACTTTTCTCACAAGGTCTGTCTATATCTTTGCTCTTGCAGGGGATATGCAATACAGAACATCTTCCTTTTTCACTGCAATCATCATCAGCTAGAAGACAACTTTTATTTGGTGTTGTATGCTGCAGGAAATTATTGCTGTCATCTGAGCCCTCAAAAAATAATCCAGATTTCGTCACATGGGAGTTACCACCCTCATCCAAAATAATTGAATCCTGGTTTGGCATTAACCTTGGAATCTGTAAAACACTAATGTTGGTATCCCTTCCCCATATGCTAGCTTGTTCAGTAGCTTCTTTGCTGGGCATTTCCATTAGCTTGCCTGACTTGCTTTGTCTTCGTGACCTCTCCTGCGTTCTCACCTGAATGACCCTAGAAGCTGTCCTTTGCTTCTGGTCGAACTTTGACAGAATTGCGCGAGACTTTCCTCTCTGCTCCGCCAGCGCCCCAGTCCTCACCTGAATGTGGAGCGCTGTGTTCAGATGGTCTGCCTGTAGCATTGTAGGTCTCTTTTCTCCTCTCGTTCTGCTGTCTGCCGGTGGGGGACCCGTGATGCCTTGGGACCAGTGATCCCCTTCATCCGGGAATTTGGACTCCTCATTTTTGCAAACGTCCCTCTTTCTGTAGTGGAGGCTGGTTTCTAGGAAGAAGGGCGGGCTACTGCAGCCTGGACCCAGGTCCCCCTGTCTCCACTTGAGACTTTTTGAGTAATATTTCGTCTTTCGCTCTGATCCCTGTGGGCAGTTGGTATGTGGGGAGCAAGCACCTGGCAAATTCATGCAGTGAGCATGGTCTTTCACAGCTACATCGGGTGAAGGATGGCCCGAGAGATCCAGAAAGGGAAAGCAAAGACCCTGAACATCTTGGAATGTTGGAAGAGTGTGTGTTGGAGAGACATGATGTTGCCAGGGTAACACTGTGTGGAATGGTATACCACACACTGTCTGGCACGGCAAGTCGCCTGTCCTCAGCTCCTGAGACATTTGAGGGAAGGGCAGAGACTGGCAAGGTGAATGAATGTTAAGGCTATATGGCTGTGCACAACGCACATAGTGGTTCATGTTCCCTCTTTCCTCTGGTGGATATGGCATCAAACTGATCGATTTATAGAGACCAATCTGAGCTTCCTCTGTTGCCTCCTCATGCTCTCCTGCAATTGAGAGTGGAGAATGCGGCAGATGGTGTGATGTCTCCACAACCTGAACTGGCTGGCCTGGAAACATGCGTGGCACTGGACAAGTAAAAGATGCATAGCTCATAGGAAACATCTCCTTTGTGTGAGAGGAAGTGGGGGACGCACCCAGTGACCTTTCCTCAGATTCTGGGGTGAGCTGCATTCCACTTGGCACAGGTGATGAATTTAAACAGTCTGCAAGAGAAGCAACCCTATCTTGCGCTGAAATCACAGGCTTCTGACTCTCGGATCTGTTGCCAAGATTCTTCCTCAAACAGATTCGTGACAGAGGAATCTGGACGCTGAGAGAGTTCGTTTGTGCCTTCGTACTGGCTGAGTCTTGGTCCAACTGTTCATATCTCTGATTTAAATCTTCCTTGGGTTGCTGGAATCTCGTAGATGAATCAAACTGTAGTTCTCCCAAGCCCTTCTGAAACACCTTCAGTCCACCTCCCTTCTTCTCCCTTCTCTTCCTTCCTTTCGCTTTCTCTTTGCGCAGGTGCCTCAGCTGTCTCTGGGTAGCAACACTCAAGTTGTTTCTTGTGCGTGCTGCTTTGAATTTCTTTTTAGGAACAAGTTTATCTGATACATTGCCCCGGGCATTTACCTGCGACACGCACGTCGTCTCTGAAGATGTAACACGAGTCTTCTTCAAAGGCGACAGGTGGGATATGGCAAGGCCAGGCTTCACTGCCAGAGTCTGACTATAGTGACAAAGACTAGTTGGTAACTGGTCCAAGTGTCTGAGGCACAGCACAGGCTTCCACACCTTCTCGAGTCTCTCCTGGGGTGTTAATTTTGCCTGAAGTTTCTTCCTGCTGCCGACTGAGGTGCCTGAGGACTGTTCTCTTGCTGTCTCATCGCCCCGTCCAAAATCTTGGCCAATATCTCCTTCACTGCCATCCTCACTAGGCAAGGGTGAGGTACATCTAGCTATATGTAGTCTCGTGGGAAGGCGTTCCACGGGCGTTCTGAACACCTCAAAGGGCGAGAAGGAGCGCCCTGCTGAAGGAGGAGTACCCTCGAGATCTACACCTGAGTCAAGGCGGTGCAGTTCCATCTGGATATAACGGAAGAACTCATCTGAGATCGCTCGGCTGGTGCACTCGCCGACGCCCTCTGCTGGGTGCTGGTCCTCCAACTCCTTCAGTTCCCTCTCGACGTAACTGACGACATTTTCCTGCATCCATATGTTGGGGGGCGAGCAGGCCCGGGCGAGAGACACCTCCCTTGCCAGCCAGCCATCCAAAAGTGTCCTATTGTGGGGCTTCGCTCTGGTGTCCTCGCTTCCTCCCTCCTGGAAGTCCCCGGGGTGAAGAGGGAACACCTCGTCCTCATACA